CGAATTCTTTCATAAGAGTTATTCAATTTCATCTTTAATAGAATATTCTTACTATTTGTAGAAGACTTCGTTCTAACACGCTGAATTGATTGCGTTTATTTGACGACTTGTTGCTTTTCATTAGCTTTCGAAGAAAATATGACGTCCTAATATTTATTTTAGTATGCTAGAAAACTTGAGAGATATAGAGCTCGCTTTCTATGCTTTGACTACTATTCATTTAGGTGATAATTAACTTATATAGCGATGACATACAACATAATTATACGGTATAGAATTTCTTTTCTCGAATTTTTCTTGAGTACAAAACGACCTTTTGTATTTTATCAATGAGAAGTAGATTCGAACCTTAATCTAGTGTTAATAAATGAATGCAGTCATTTCTTCAAAAAAATTCACTATTTCTACTTGCACAAATATAGGCTATTGGTTATCGTCAGTATTACATTTTGATTTCTTACTCATCACTGTTAATTTCTTAAAGTAGCAGTCTGATAGTTATTATGAGAAGTTATCAAAAGATTTTACAGTATCATTTTTTGTTGAACGTAGTCAAGTTTGGAAAAAACTTTCAGTTATCAACGAATATATTTGATAGAAATTTTTCTGCATCGATAGATAACATATGTGTTTCTGGGATAGGAACAATGACTTCAAGGACAATACACAGCTTCCGAAAGGACAGCATGACTTACATTAAGTAGAATGATATCAACTAAATATTTTCGAAGATTTCTGACGTTTTTCTTTACATACAAGAATTAAATCCGAGCAAATACTAGATGATATAAATTTAATGGAATGTTTTTCTAACATGAATACTGTCCTCTTATAGGTTTTCTTACTTTTCTGTAGAATAAATATATTTCGAAACCGTATGTTGACATTATCAAGAAATTAATCTTTTATAGAAATCAATAATTTCTATTTTTTATGATAAAATGAATATTACATACAATGTAATGTTTGGTAAGATTCTTTTTTTATGTTCAAAACAAATAGAAATTGTCGGAAACAAAAAAAAAAAAACGGATGTTAGAGAAAAATCGATTTTGCATTGATACAAATTCTTATCACTATCAAACGTTATAGAAGAACAAGTGAAACTACCATTCATAATAAAGATTCTAGAACCTTTCGAAATACACATATAGAAATCTACGTTGTTAAAAATATTGTATGTTTTTACACACAGCAAGATATTCAAGGTTATATTTTCTATCTAGAAAAAATCACGAGAGTAAGAATATATTTACATGCACTAAAACATTAACTGACTACTAAAAATAAGCAGTCAGATACTGGGATAAAAAAGAACAAATGTAATGTCAATCTCAGCTAGAAGAAAAAAATGTGTTATCTTTTTCTATCTACAGTGACATGTACTCAGAAAAAATCATGTCTAACGATTAAATATTGATCAAAGTACATCAATAGTGAGTAGCAGCAGATGCATTATTACAAGTTATTTTTTTGTTTTCTATGCTAGAAAACACAATAGTGATTCTAATTCATTCAAGATGTATTTGGTTTTTTATTCTTCAGAATAAAAAAAAGAATTTTAAGAATATGTCAATTTCAAATGCTTTTTGATTGTATCGTTGATGTGGGGAGGAAAACAATATTTTGCATCCATATGTTTTGTTATATAATCTTTGATTTGTGATGACCAAAAAGATATATGAAAATATTTAATATGACATCCTACTATGAAAGTATACGATTTGATAATGAATCGTTTCTGAAATCTTTCCTCCTTGTTTATCATAATGGATATGAATTAGCAGCTTTCTATATAATACCATGTAGTTATTCAATGACTCGTAGACAATATGCTTCAAACTGTCTTGCTTATAACAATAAGAGAGCTTCACTTGAGTTTAAAAAAATCAAGAATTGAATATTATCTAGACAACTAAACTAAATGTTACTTTATCGAAATAATAATACTTATCCGAAAATGTACGAGAAATTCTCGTGAAAATGAATGAATTCATCGACCTATAGTAGATGTCTAAAATAGAATTCCTTTTTAAATTTTAGATTGTATTTTCTAATGCTGAGTTTTTATTTCAATGCTAAACTCTGTATATAGCTTAATATTTTGTAAAAGAAATTTTAAAAACAAAATTTCCTTGACAAAAGATTTTGATAAATAGAAAAAATCGAACTTACGACTGAGAATTAATCTATATTTACTAATCGATTATACACGATTATTAGTTTATGTAATGTTATGTATATATATATTACCTGATTTTTTGAAGACAAGTTTTGATTACTAATTTAAACAAGAATCTTCATGTTGATTCTAATCGACAACTAACTAGAAAATCTAACATTTATTTGTATGTTCTATTTCATATATTTATTATGTGATATTTATTTTATCGACTTGTTTACTGCCATTTTCATTATCGATAAGATCATAGGAATACTTATTATTATTTTTTCCTTGCTATTCGCTCTTTTTATCAGCTGCTATTGACCTATACTATGTTATTGTGATTAGATTTTCTTAATGGTTATCTAGTACATAGAGATGATCATTTTATTAGTCTTTTCTTTTCTTTTCTTTTTATTGATCTTACAACATTCATATAAATTTTTTATCACTGTATTCGTATATCTTTTATTGTGTTAATTAGTTTTTTAAAAAACATAAGTGACAAAATATAGATTAGACACAAAGGACTTAATAATAATTTATTTATGACAAATTCTCAAGTGTTAAAAAAGTAGTCTTGTCAAGTAATCAATATAATCTCTGTTCTTTTGTGTACTATCTAGTTTATGTAAAGGTTTATTAATTTATTCTGAAATCAATTAATCATTTTTTTATCTTATGTTTTATTGTTTAACTAAAAAATTTTTTTTTTCTACATATTTTTATACATGATATGACAAAACATTTGTGAGACTTCTAATAATAGTTTTAGGGAAAAAAACAAGCTACTACTACTATTACTTGAAAAATAAATATAAAATAATACAGTAAATGCTATTGTCAAAAAAAAGCTATTAATAGTTTTTTTTTTGTAATTTAGCTTATGCATTATTCATTTTTAATTTTTATATCAAATTTCTATGTCAGTTGATAAAAAATGTTACTATTATTAGAATAATCACTTGAAAGAAAAGTATTATTAAACGTTCATAAACTATATTCTTACATTTTTGACTGATTGTATTTGATAACGAGTTGGAGATATATTAGACAATGGTCAGTCAAAAACAAATAAAAAAAATATTAGAAATAAAGAACTTGAGATATTGATTCATTCAAATGATATATCAGCCGTTAAAACATATTCTGTTGATCAAGTATGACAGTTTGGAAGTGTATCATTTAGATTAGCTTGATAGTAGGTCAACATCGGAATGATAAGTAAACAATAATAAAAATGTCCTGATGAGCTTTGCACTAAGTACTTCTTTTTATCTAAGATAGACACAATTTTTTGACAAATATGATTGATCAATAGTTTTTGTCAACTCATGTAATTGTCAAGCAGAATAAAAGCCATTAATAGTTTAATACTAAAAACGGTCGTCTATCTTCTGATTGCTGTATACTAATAGTTGTCCTTCTATAGGTAATCTAGTATTGGTACACCATCGATACTTTTGAGTAATGCGGTATTGCAGGCAAAAGTAGATTATGGGAAGGCCATTATTGAAAGAGTGATTGTTGGTAAAGCAAATACTAGTAAAGCTTAAGGTTTACACGAGCTTTATGTGTGCTAGTGAAATCAAAATTTCAACTTGATAAAATTCGAATTATTAAATCAGAAAAAATGAATAAGACTTAGGAATTTTACAAAAGACTTAAATTTATAGAAGAAAACAAGTTAATTTTTGAGACTTTGCTGACTCAAACAATGCTTTTCGGAGGAAAAAAACTTCAAATGGAACTTGTTTCAGACATGCCATAAAATTTTATCAAATATATTGTAAGACATAGAAGATAATTCTCTAGAGAACAGTACATTTAAATAAAACTTTTTGCAAAGTGTAAAGATGTAGTGAAGGTTTATATAAAGTATATCGAAAGAAAAATAACTATTGTCACCTTTTCAGAGCAAAAATGATCTTTCGTCAAAACTCTGCAATATTTTAGCAGATTAATCAAAGCTCGGGACTTTTGTGTTGTTTTGTAACATACAGATCAATCTTAAGTGGTATAGATTTACAGAAGTTATTTGATGTCTACAGACAGCAAACTTGTCTTCAGAAAAATAAGTCTTTTGCTTATTCAGAAGATTTTTTTTCCGTTCTGTTAAGATTTAATCATAAGTCAATAGTCTAAATCACAGAAAAATTCTATGTATTCTGAATAAGCACAAAATTCTAATTCGAATACGTCACTTCTCACTTTTTTCGAATGCACAAAACGTAAATAAATGTTTTGGTTAGAAACTTTTGACTCGCTTCTAAATTGTTTTTTCTTTTCTTTGTTTGATATCTGTCAATAGCAATACTATTTTTCTCTAATGAGAAAGAGGCAAATTCGATCTAATTTTAAATAAATAAAAAAATTTGTAGTGATCTTTGCTTTAAAGGTTGAGTTTTCAATCACTATAGTATATTAAATCCTTTGAAAATATACACAAGAAAATATCTAAGCATTAATACTCACAACGAAAAAACTATTCATGCCTATTCAAGTTATAAATTAAAATTTTCTTAGACAAATAATTAACTATAATTTTTAATTGGAATATTTTTACAACTTTTTTTTGTTTTATTTAGATCGAAATATTCATCTTCAATATTAAGCAGAAATTTAACATTATATGAAAAAAAATACTAGCTAATTATATTTCAAATTAACTAGTGTCTGTTTATTCTTCTTGAAATCAAGTCTTCTGTAGAGCTTTCACATGACCATGATACAGTAGTAACTATTTCGTATATTGTATTTATTTCATCAATTGGAATCTGAACAAAATTCTAGGTGCATAACTGGTGGTAGTTCTAAAGGTAATCATACACTAGGGTTAACATTTAAAAACATTGAATAATGCTTTTCGAAAAACGGATCCACCACATAGTGTGTAAATATAAAATGGCATTCCACTTGCGATAAAAGTCAATAAAAGAGCAAAATTGTAAACAAAATTGTCGATAGCTTTATTATATTCAGATTTATTTTCATCAAGTGTTATTGTTGCATATAATTTTTGTATGGCTTGTGGAAATATTAATAAAATTAAGAGGATAACTTCAACTAAAAGCATTTTCAGAAGAGAACGATTACTTTTCTTTTTTAACAACTGTTCGTTTCTTCTTATATTGTGATGCAGCTCACTAGTCACCACTCGTATACGATTTTGTGATTGATGTATATTTATAATTGTCCATAAGCCAAATATTAACATGAAGATTATTGGCAATAAGATAGCAATACATACATAGATGAGATCATTAATATGACGACATGTATCTGTTTTTCCATAACACTTTAATGGTGTATCCGATAAATTTGCTTGATAACAATAAAACATTTGAACATACATAAGACAAAAAATAAATACAACAATGAATGTAATTCGTCGAGCATTTTTTAATGTACTCAACCGTCGATAATGAGCATTAGCAGATGACAAAAGCCAACGATCAATTGTTGCAAACATGATAAGCCAAAAGGCAATTGTTCGAGAAGAAAATACAACAAAAGCTCGAAGTTTACATAGCCAATCAATTGTTTCCGTTAGATCATTATTCCAACCAGATAATAAACGTGTAAGAAGACCAGAAACAATTGAAATCAGATTGGCAATAGATGAGGTTAGAAAATACCAACCGCATGGATTTGAACGAAGATTTCGTTGTGATAAAGCTAATATATTTAGAATATTTCCAACAAAACCAAATAGAAGAATAAATATTGTACAATAACGATTAATCTGAAGCATCACATTATTTAATGACGCAATGGAACTAGTCTCTGATGAAGACATATCTATTACAATTTTGATAATATGATAATAAAAAATGACTTTTATACACACATGTTTTCTTTCTTTTAAGCTATAAACTTTGGACGTCATCAGACTGATGAGAAAAAGAAGTTAACTGAGCTTACTTCCTCCTTCATATAAAAAATGAGAAATGAATATCTTTATGAGGGAGCTTTTATTTCTTCAGTTTAACTATATTTATTTTGCAACAAAACACTAATTTAATGTTAATAATTGACTATTTCCAGGCATATCTAGAGGGCATAATATTCGCCGCTTCATTTAATCCTCGGTATCAATAACGTTTCAGTAATTAATAATTTTACACATTAATAAATGAATTTTCTCTAAATCTATAGCAGGATCTAGGTTTCTTTTCCTTATTAGTATTGTAGGTCATATATACAACCTAGATTGACGTCATATGAATATTTGTTGTAAAAGCTTTCTGAAATAAAAAAAAAAATTTCAAGCCATATTTACGATTCGAATAATACAGTAAGAAAATTGATTAAGGAAATATTTAGATAAAAAAAAAGAAGAGGAGAATAATTTTTTTACCATAGTCTATTTAAAGATTTTCTTATATCCATGGTTTTATTTCGAACATATAAATCATACTAACGGGATTTTCATTGCATACTATATGCAAAAAAATTCATTCTTTTTTTGGTAAATTATCGGAGTTGAAAATAATATTACTCGTGTCTTAAGATCAAAATATTTTGAAATTCGTTAGTTTTAGTAAAAAAATTAGATGTACCCAATCGTTTTTTTGATGTGAAATAGAATATCATTCAAAATATAAACTATTTTTCTTGTGCAAAAACGACTGTATTATGCACGCATGAAATGACTATACCAATTCAGTTATACAATGTATGTTGTTTTCAAATCAAAAACACTTCGTTAGTTCTAACTTAAAATAGCATAAATATCTAGCACTGAATAACCTTATTAAAATTAAAATTCTATGGTTTATTCTGCAAACTTAACCCAATCAGATTTGTTGAAAAATTCTTCTCTGACAAAATCATTAAGTTTTAAAAAAAAATTCTTTGTGTTATATAGGCCTGCATTTTACTATTTGAAAGCTAGATTTTCTTTTGCACGCTATGCATCAACCATGAAAGGATAAAAAAAACGTTGTTTGAAAATTGAAAAAAAAGATAAGATTATGTAATATTTCTATAATTTTGCCAATTAGAGAGCGAAAACTAACAAAATTTTGAATGAAAGTTTGTCATAGCTCATCAAGGTCTCCTTATGGGAAAAATATCAGTTCAAAAGAATGCTAGCACTTTTGAATGTTCTCTTATAGATAGTTATGTTTGTTTTAGAGTTAAATTTGCTAGCATTACTTGCAATGAATGGAAAAAGTATTGTTTATGTGTTTATATATGTAATCATTGAAAATGGAAGACACTCTTATGAAAGTGTTTGTGTTTAACAGTATTGTTTGATATATTACACTTGATGATATCGGATGGTTGATTAGCTAAAAGATTTTGTAAACAAAAGGAAATCTATTTTTAATGATTTGTTTGAAATGAATACAATAATTTATTAAAAAATAGAATAGTTTGTTATACAGAAGGTTTTTTTTCTTATTAAAAATATCGGAAAACATCTAATAATCATGTTTTGTTATATTTAAAAGTTTATTTTTTATATTCGATTTGATGTTAAAAGTCGAACACGATCACCTGTATCATATAAATAAAAATAAAGTTGCCAAGGAAATGGACATAAATCAAGGTCAACATTCATTTCTTTTGTACATCTTGTACGTTCATTAAAATACGAAATTTTTCTATTATCACAATCAATTACGAATTCTATTTGTAATATTGTTTCACCTTTCATATCACGTTGATTAAATGCATTTTTTGATTGTGAATATCCACCACCAACTGTTTGATCATCACTACTCCAACCATATACAGATAATTGTGATTCTATCGATGCTATACCAAATGTTGTTATATAATCGGAATTTTTTTTATTGATAATAAAACGTATTTTATGTTTACCACGTATATATTCATTTTTACCACATAAAAAAGCATCACTTCGTTTTTGATCACCATGCACTGCTAATTGACCATTATCTTCAATATAAATATCGCCAACTGATCGTAAAAAATTTTCATTTGTAAGTATTTGTTGTTTTATTGATGATAAATATACATTAGCAATCAATGTATCTTTTAGATCTTCACGAAGTATTATAGATGAATTCATAGTTGTAAGATCTTTTTTAATATTTTCTAATTTTAATGACCATAAATGAAGATCATTTTCAATATAATCATCTTCTTCACGAGCTTTACGAAGACGTTGAGAGAAATATTTTAATGTTTCAGAAGCATTTTCTAAATAGATAAAACTTCATTCAAAGTAAGAAATAAATCAAGATTTGAATTTAAAATGAAAACTTAAAAATACAATCATAATGCTTTTGATAAGATTTCTACAAGGTTAAATTAACAAATAGAACTTCTTTTCGTTTTTTTTTCTCATATATGTTTTATTCTATTTATACCTTTTTGTGATTTTATATATTGAACAATGTCTTGTCGAATATTTTGTGCAACTTGTTGAATTTTAATTATGGAATTTTTTTCCCATTGATCAATTTGATTAATTAATGTATAATATCCATTATTTTCTTGATTAATTAATTGATAAAGTTGATCATGTTCAGAAACAAGTTCATCCAATTGATGACTAAGATTATCACGATGTTCACTAGCATGTTTTCGACAAAATACATTAGAACATCCTTGACATTTAAATATACCAACACCTTTACTAGCACATTTAGTACATGGGATTGCTAAATTTGCCATAAAATTTTTCGTTTTTACGTTGATTTTATTATGAATCTATGAAATAAAATCTTAATAGTAAAGTTGTTTCGTATATATGTCGTTGTCTTTTAATTAATATGTTTTTTAACGAAAGAACGCAAAAAGAAAAGTGAATTTGAGTGGAACAAAATAAAATTCGAAGGAGAACAAACTTTCAAAAAAAAAATCACCATTTTACAGTTGATCAATAATTCAGTTAAAACTTTAATGCATTCTCAATTTTATACATAATGTAAAAAAAATGCTTTAGTCAGCAGAATTGAAAAGAATTTTACTTTTCGTTAAATTCGCTAGAAACTGAACTGTTTTAGTTAAATAATTGAGATGTAATACGAAATATTGTTTTGCAAGTCAATTGTCTCGACTGAAATCAATCTCATAGATTTCTTATACAGTTGATCAAGGTTTTTCTTTTATTGTTTTGTATATTCATAGTTCTTCTACTAATCAATTCAATTGCTTCATAATACCTGAAGTAAACAGGAGAGTCACATGATGTTAAATTTGGAGAATATAAGACTTCACGAACCGTTTGTAGGTTTTTTTTTCTCTCAACATGATATTTTATCAATACAAATCCATTTTTCTTCTTTCTTGTCTTATTGAGTAGAAATATAGAATAATTAAATGATGAAAAACAATTCAATTATTAGATTTATGAAATAGAAATAGTGATCGAAATATCAATGAAACGAGTATTTGATACTGCATACTATGGTTATTCATTGATGAAGTGATATGATCACATCATTACTTGTCTCACAACACTCCGTTATGATGATAATATGATTTTGATATATAATACTGCTTTAAATTATGAGTAGTTGAGCTTTTAGGAAAAAGGATTTAAAAGGAGTGTTGAAGTATAGAAGTAGAAATTTCGCCCCCCCCCCCCCCCCCCCCCTTTACACACATAGCGGACATCCTTAGAAACGTCTGTCCTTCATCAGAGACAGCGATAAACGTTGTTTATAGGCGATCACAAATCGTATGTCAATAACGTCTCGTTATAATATGGTGAAGAAATATCTAATAAATTAGATAGAATAAAACAATCTTTCTACGATTAGCAAGAATAAATACCTCGTGTTTCAAATTTTAATTACACAAGGATTGTTCTAACAGTTTTTTTTTTAAATTAAAACTTGATAGAGAAAATAAGGAGATGTAGTCTTAGTCGTTAGAAGTCAATTTTAATTACAAGAATTCAAGTATGATGTTATTATTCGTGTCATTAGTTTTTAATTTCGTTGTATAATGTCTATTTCATTCATCATACGACAATTTAATTATGATTTCACAATTCAGTTACTATGAATTATTCCTTATGAACATTTAAGTTTAAAATTGATTTGTAAAATATTTATTTCGAAAGTTGATCAAAAATCAAATTTTCCATGAAACACTTATTAATTATTCGGACTTAATTCAATATAACAATAATCATTAACGTTAGTCTGTGTCAACGAATCTTTCTTTATGTTATCTGTTTGTTTTTCTACTTCAAAATGATGATAAAGTATAGACATATTCACGTAGAACAAATATTACTAAAGTAAAAGAATACAAGAGTAACGGAGAAGTAGGTATAAACAACAATATGAAACAAGAAAGGATATAAACTGAAGATTAGCGCCATTACGTAACAAGTATATTGTTATCGTCTGTGGTACTTTCTCATTGACTTCCTCAAATTAGTGATACTCAACAAAATTCATTAGCTCAAGATAAAATATGATTAACTTTATTTGAGTCATACTTTTCAAATTATGATTGAAAAAATGAAGAATTGTATCAATCCTTGTCGAAACTCTTTATTACACAATAAAACATTTTTCAAATGAACAAGAAAAAACAAAAGACTCCTATTGTGTATGTATGATGTTGAGGATTCTGTTCGACTTCTTTCTTCATCTCGAGTATCATTATTTTTTTAAAACTATTATCTAACTAAAACGATAAATAAAATAAAATAATGTCACCAAACTTGGTTTTTTTTGTATTCTTCTATTTGGTTTCAGTTGCGGTTTGTGTTGAAGCGAAAAGTACACCATTACGTTATTTCTTTTTATTCATAGTAAAATTACAACTTTCATGATGTCTTTATCTATATCATTGAAAGCACCTTGTACTGCATGTGGTAATAAAAGTGTAGGTATATTTCGATGTGAAGGATGTTTACAAGTATTTTGTCGAAAACATCTTAATGAACATCGAGATTTTCTTAATCATCAATTAGATGAAATTGCTCAAGAACATGATATTTTACAACAAATTATTCTTGAAAATCAAGATAAACAAACAAATGACCTTCCTATTTTCAAACAAATTGATCAATGGGAAAAACTTTCCATTGAGAAAATTCAACAAATAGCAGAAGAAGCTAGAATACAAGCTAAAGAGTTAACTAGTTTACAAACAGGTTAGTTAGAATATTGATTAGTATGTGCTATGATTGATATATCTATTATTTGATAGTATCAAAAGAATTACATGAACTTGCTGAACGATTAGAAAAAGCTCGTACAGATGACGATTATGTTGAAACAGATCTTCAAACATGGACAAATATGTTACAACAACTGAAAGATGATGTTAATACATTTTCATCTTCGATTTATATGCAAGAAAATCCAAAAGAAATACTTATTGCTAAAATGTATGTTTGTAAAACATTACAACAATCAACACAACAGGAAAAGTTTGGTGAATCGTTTGGACCAATTCGTATTGAAAATAATAGTTTTCTGGCGACACATGTGGGTTTAAAGAATAGTACAGCTTTTGTGCGTGGAATCGGTGAATATTCATCAGGTACACATAAAATTCGATTTCTATTCCAAAAGAATAGTCTCAAATATATCTCCTCGTTTGATGTTGTCTCAGCATTAATGTCGATCAATGGAACATCTACATTACCTTATGAAGGCTTTGGATGGTCAAGCGATGATGATATTTATTGTCCTGGTGGTGAAATAACAGTAGATGAAAATTTTCGAGATATGAAAGGTGAAACTTCATTTGAAATCGAACTTCAACTTGATTGTGACAATCAAAAGATTAGTTATATCAACCAACGAACAAAGAATCAAAGAGAGTTAAATGTTGATATAACAAAATGTCCATTACCATGGCAAGTCCGGTTTTATCTGTTTGAGACTGGAGATTGGATTAGATTGTTGCATTGATGTTAAATATTATGAATGACGATTATTATTAACATGCTTATGCTAGTTTAGATTTCAATAAAAAACAGTATATCGCGCAAGAAAATACTAACATATTAGGAATATTATTTCTTCTGAACAAAACATTAAAAATATTAGAATATATTTTTATTATCAGAGTGAAATATAAAGAAAAAAAAATTGAAAGAATTCTCTATTTTTAATTATAATCAATAGAAAAAGCTTTACTTTCATTAGAATTTAATGTTTTGTCTTTTTTGATGTAATATCTTTTCCATTTGTTCAATGCAATAATTCTAGATTGCACATCATGCATTGATTGACAATATCAAAGAAATAATAGGAATTACTATTATTATCTAAAATGATTGAAATCAAATAGAAATAGATTTTTTTGAGGTATTGAAAAACCTCAATCACAAAAGATTAAAAAGGTGTTTTTTGAGAATTAGAGACATCGATAAGTCCTTGCTGTTTTAGATCGGAAATATATTTTTTAAAATTTTACTGAGAATTTGACTATACTCATATCGTCAATTTCTCATTAAAACCTATGGTTCCAACTGTTTACTCCTTTTTATTAAGTTTTCGTAATTTGTATTAAATGAATATTTTCAATCTTCAAGGATGTCTTTTGTGATGGCATCTTTAATAAATAGACAAACTCAAAAACTATAAACAAAAACAGCCATTGTGACTGGTATAGACGGCTTCGGCATGCTGATGTTAGAAGTAGAATGTGAATTTGACTGATATGTATCATATTTCTAAGACTTTAAAAATATTTATGTACCGATATACAAAAAGGTTAAGCCGAAGAACCATAATTAATTGCAGTATTTAGAAAAAAAAAATCAAGTTTCAATTTTAATCAGTACTTGTAATCATTTGTTATGCTCCAATATCGTATTGATAAACCATTTACGTGATATAAGGTACCTTTACTTTTAAAAATCTTTCACACACCGCTTCTGCTCGCTGTACGTGTAATTCAACTGTTTATCTGAGAATCCTGGATGGAAATCTTTTTCTTTTTTTATTAATAACTTGAAAATATTCTATTAACTACTTGTTGAAAATTAACGAATCATTCAATATTTTTATTATCAAAAAACACCTAATAAAAACAATTTATATTCTTTTTTGTAGAAAAACAAACAAAATACTTGCTCACTGTATAAAAAAAAAAATATTTCGTCAACCATATTTAACGAATCAGTCAATGTCACCATGTCCCCATCATTACAAAATAATTATAACGAAAATTGATACTCATTGTACAAGAAAGAAAACAAAATACTTATTCATTCTATAAATTGTGTTTTTATTTTAATACATTAACGATATTTCTTACTAGAAAATTACAAAAAAAAACTATTTCAAACTCGCATCTCTCATATACAAACTATAGTAATATCAAACGATACTATCTTTTATATTAAAAGTTTATTTGTTCTACGAGATCCGACAACATTTGAATAAGAATCAGAGATTCAAACTGACTTGAGTTCAAATGAAAGTTCTCTTATTCGTTTCAGTCTGTGATTTCTATTTTTAGATTAGTTTAACTTTCAAAAATTATTGAAACTAAATAAAACATGTTTAGAAATTTGATCTATGTTTGCCAATGAGAAGCTACGCTCGATGCGTGAGCAATTACCCTTGTCCCTCCTGACACTATACCAATTCAGTTAAATGAAAAAAAAAACGATCATTTATGAATCATTGACAGTCGTTAGAAAATAATTTTCATATGAATGTTACTTTCTTTTCTTTTCAAACCCTTTTATTTTTCTTCGCCTATTAAGTCGCCATTTCTTTTCATTGATCAAAGCAAAAAAGGCAGTCTATACTCTCTTGCACAATGATTAATATCGATGCAATTATAATCTAGGCCATACTGTTTTTTAACTATTGCTTACAAGCAATAGAAAGGTGCACTTGAGAAATAATTGCGAGAGACTCCTTTCAATTTTACATAAATAAACATCGTGCATCTTCAATTGAGAGAAAGAAAAAAAAATGCATGTTTCATCGTGAATAAGCGACTGTGGCTACCGTGCTGTTTGTAACTATATATAAAGCACAGTAAATAACTTGCCGTCAGTTTATTTTTCACTTGTCAACCGATTCGTTTTACCAGATGGCGACGAAATTTAGTGACTTGCTTGGAGAAACTTTAGTCAAATCTAATACTACTCAAGGAAGCGAAACTTATCAACAAATACCAACTAGTGAACTCGACAACAAGATCGTGGCGCTTTATTTTTCGTAAGCATATATTGAACTTCACCATATTTTAATAAAATTACTTTTTCAGGGCTCACTGGTGTGGACCTTGTCGAAATTTCACTCCAAAATTGGTTGAGTGTTACAATAAAACTCAGTCTGAATTACAAGAACGATTTGATATTGTATTTGTGTCATCAGATCAAGATGAAAAATCTTTCAAGGAATATTTTGACACAATGCCGTGGAAAGCCATCCCCTTTTCAGGTAGCTCAATGTTCTCATCAATAGAATAGTTTCACTTTTACCATTAATATCATTGTCATAGCAATAATTCAACAAATAAAAAGTTGACAAAATTGTGTTAAAAAAAGTCAATATTCGGACTAGTTGAGCAACTTTTACTAAATTTGACACATAGTTTAGAAAAAAGTCATACTTTCATCTTGAGTAAGATAAGATCGAAATAATAGTTTGCAAGATAGCCTAGGAGTGTGGTCTGAGGCTCCTATAAAGTTTTAAGTTTTGGTTCTTGTGTAGTTTGTAAAGTATAAAGCTGAGAATCTTTTGAGTCGAAATGTTGTAAAAGCAAGAGTCTCGGATCTTAAATCAAATCGTAAGTCTGAATCTTGAATTTCGACATACTATCTGAAATTCCAGAGTCAACATACAAAATCCAAGAGTTTTCGTCTTGTAGGATTCTGATTTGTAAGACTAATATATTAAATATCAGATTGACCATTCATTATGATATACCTGTAACATTTAATTGACTCTGAAGGATCAGTTGGTTGCAATGAATAATCAGAAGTGCTTGAGTTACTGAACGTATAAGTTATTAATATTGAAAGTAGAAACGTCAATTTTCTCTTCATTAGATCAACTAAACAGACTATTGCGTCCCAAGCTACTCCTCCTATGAAGACATAGTTATATTTAATTAATCTTGAACATACTCATGAATAACTTTTATGAATGAAGACTTCTTTGCTACTTTTCAGTTTTTAATGAAAAATTAGACTGAAAATCGAGAATAATTAGTTAGAATTTAACTTGATTGCAATCACTAGCTGAATATTTTCGTTTCAGATCGAGATCGTGCCAATAAACTATCAGAGAAGTTTAATGTGGATGGCATTCCAACACTGCTTGTTCTCTTACCTGATGGAGTAATTTTAACTAGTGAGGGTCGTAATGACATCGTAGAAAAAGGAGTGGAAGCTATTCGATTCTGGTCACAAGATGTAAAAAGTCTACCTGTATCTCCTGATACATATGTGTGGCAAGGAGTGTTCTGCGATGGATGTAAAATGGATCCACTCGTTGGTCAAAGATACACGTGTTCTACTTGTAAGGAGTTTGATTTATGTTCTGCATGCCAGAAGAAGGGACACGAACACATGCTTACATATATGCCGCAGCCACTGGCGACGATTGGAAAACTTGTTTGGAAAGGAATAAATTTAAATTCTTAACTTCTCAACAGCTTTTCAATTTATATCAACCAAATAAATACACAATTGAGAAGAATTATACATCCATTAGTTTTCGAAAACTAGTTTACTTTAATAAATATTAAAATAAAGTTAAAAAAAATGGGTCTTCGTCTGAAAAATGCTTGTTCAGTATCTTGATACTAGAAGAGCTTAGACGTACTGATGGCGTCACTGAAAATTTGGGTGTGACAAAGTTCAACCCTTGATTATGTTGTCAAATTATTCGAGTTCAGTATAATACGTTTTCGGGAACATAAAACTATATTTCTCTTGTTAAAGTTGCTAAAACTCGCTTATCTTTTGAAATAATTATTTTTTCAAAAATCATTGTTCTTGACGATAATTAAAATGAATTTTATCTGTTGTAAAATATATATACAAAATAATTCTTTGTTAGATTAGTTTTCTTTATAAAAAATAAAAACGATTGAACTACATCTTACGCTGATACTTTTATTTGACGATAGCTGCAATTTTCGTAAACTTTAAATGGTTATATGATATTGTATTATAGGAAAAGATGATCAAGCATTTTTTGCTTTAGTAGGTTTTAAGATTAATTTTGTTTAGAATATTTTGGATTTTCCTACGAAAATCGTTGTATTTTTTATCATCAAACAGAAGGAATTTTACTGAAAGTAAGTATCTTGCTGAAGGTGAGTGTCGCTTTAAGACCTATGGCTTGCTGTTGGTACAGTTATAATATCTATATATGTGCTATCAATAAATAAATATACTATTGAAAAAACATCCAACAAATCAGAAAAAAAAGGTAATTTTCGGTGGCCTCTCTTATTCTCTTGATTTTTGTCAAAGACTCAAGAGTGTGGAAATGGGGAGATGAGTCTTCTTTTCATCTATTTTCACACTGATACTCAGTGTATCTTAGACATAATTAGAAGAGGAATGTTTTATTCAACACTTCAAATGCGTAGCATTAAAATTAATCTCATTGAAATCTATACAGACCACAGATGATTGGATGAATGTTGAAATCTTTATTACATAACAATAATCATCCTTTATTTTATTCGAAGTTCATAAATTAAGAAAAATTTATTGGTTATGTGAAAGTTTCACTGAGTTAACGAAAAAAAAAATGAAAAGATTATTCACATCATAACAACAGGTGAATATTAGAAATGAAATAAAAATAAAAAAATCGATTATGTGTGTTCTATTTTTTTGTTTTACAAGATTCGTGTTTTCTTTTCATGTTTTCACTTATTTATTCCATTCTTCCAATTCAATTTGTGTCATTAGTGGCTTATCCGGTAGAAATTCAGCTTTAAACTGCGATATATTTTTAACTTGAAATACAGTGTAAGGCATAATCAATATTTCTCCTTCATTAGCATATTGAGAAGAGTTTTCAATATGTAAAGCAGTGCGTTTACGTTTAATCTGATATATACACATCACCCATGATTTAATCACTTTTCCATCAGCCTTAAAGCGAGCTTTTGTACCACCTTTTTCCCTTTCTTCTTCTTGTCGAACTACAAATAATTCGGCAACTTTGCGATCAATTGATGAAGACAAAAATGATTTCGTCATTAAGCAACAGTCAACTTCATACTTTTTAAGGTCATCATGGTTTTGTCGCATTACTCGATAAGCAGGACCGATAAATGTATAATTATTCAAGATAGGATGATGAGAAAGTAATGCTATAATATATCTTCGTTCGCTTTGATACATGCCTGCACCTCCTGCTATTTCAGTATTCAATGTAGTATAAAAATCAGTTTCAGCTGTGTAAGCTTTAATTATCCATTGTGGATCTTGTTCTTTTGTAGCTTTTTGAAAGAAGCGTTTTATAATTTCAATGCCATGAATATTAGCTAGCCCTTTATTAATGTAATTCTTTTCGATTTTTTCAAACATTTTATTCATAGAGTCACTTCCAGCAGCGTTATTATATACAGACTTGATTATGTCTCTTTCTTCAGCCGCTTTATCTAATACATCGTCATCAATTAATTCCCATTCAATTACACCAGTGTTTCCTACTAATCGATTACTGTTTGGTACACGAAAAAATAGTTCTTTGATATTATTATTCAATGCTTCGTCGAACGGTAAGCACCCGTATTTATTTTGTATTGCTCTGTCAGCTCCAGCTTCCAGCAACATTCGAACAATTCTTATATGACCATGATAGCATGCAGCATGTAATGCTGTACTATGATTTGGTTCTAATTTGTCGATTTCATCAAGTGTCATTGTTGGAAGTAATTTTTCTACCTTATCGATTTGGTTATTACGGCATGCCGAATAAAATTCACTACATGCGGTAGATGTTGCCACTGCTTTTGTTGTTGTTGCTTTTGCTTCAGATGTTGCTGTTGATGATAGTGTTGGACTTAGTGTTAATGTGATAACATTATCTGAAGGAAGACGCTCAGGATGATCCAATTGTGAAAGAAAGGCATCATACTCTTGGGCACGACGATTCGTCACATACTTTTTTAATGATTCTATTGCGTTTCCCATACGTTGACAATTAGCTGTTTATTTTCGGTACCAACAATCAATAAAATAACGCTAATTAGAACTGAATAGTGATCTTAAATGATGAAAGAAATTCATATTTAACACAAAAAAAAGCAGATCACTAGTGTGATTTGAACCTCTCTATTGAATACCTGAATTAATTTTCAGCAGAAAATAGAAAATTCAGGCTAGATGAGATGACAAAAAAAAACGATTTCTGCACATAACTTTTCTACAAAGATAAAATAAAACTTCTCACGTTGTTCTGCACGTATTCAGTCATTTTATGTGACTATTGATACTGTGACCTACCCTACGTGAATAGAAGTATCATACTGAGTAAGTAAATAAGATTGCTTGATTATACAACAATTTCTTATTTTTATCATTAGTGTAAGATACATATTCATAAACTTTTTCTTCAATATTTCTTTCCATATATTTTTATCCTTAACAACATCACTCTATAAAAGACTTTGACAGACAAAATTAATCATGTTAAATTTTCTATGACTTATCGCTCATTCAAATGAATTTCATTCGACATTATATTAGTGTTTTAGAGTAAAAGAATATCATGGAAATACTTAATAGACGATATGATAACTCTCCTAAACTGACTGATAAGACAATATCATTTATGAAGAACTTTTTAGAAGTTTTCATCGAATTTTTACTAATATGAAAACATCTTAGTTTAATCACAGTTCAACGTAAAAATAATTTTCTTAACAAGTTTATTCATTTCTTACTTGTGTATGTTATACGAAGATGGCAAAATCAAACTGAATTTGTTACACTTACAAACATTATACCACGTGCATTATTGGTAATAAACTGAAAATGAAAGAATGTGAATGGTATTGCACAACCAAACAGTAGTTGCAAACTATGTAGTTTTGTGATGTTAATGCCGATGAAAAGAGTTTTTTTTTTCTCAGAAGTAGTACGATAATCTTCAACCATCTGTATAGTTCAAAAGATGTCGGTAAGGTGTCGAAATCCTGTAGATTTATTATGAAATATTTATAATTAAAAAAATTGAGAAAACGTTGTTATAGTTCATCTGTACGTTGTCACTAGTCATTCTACAAAAATATTGCAATAGATAATGAGTTTCAGGTGTATTCATGATTAAAAAAAATACTGTTTTAATATGTTCATGAGAAAGCGTATTCTTTCTCTCCAATTGATCGTATTTATAACTTTGTTCGAATATGTTTGCTTTTATGAGTTTGACACATTTTCTTCAGCTTTCTTTTACTGTAAATAACGAATTTGTTTTTAGAATCAAGTTTCAGCGCAATGTATTGATAGTACACTTTTTCTTGAAAAAAAAAATGAGTTATTTCACAAACAAGTGAAAGGTATATTTAGATTCGTATTGTGAGTAAAAATGTATTTATAGGAAATAGAAATATTCTAGCATATAGAGAAATATTTCGTGATCTTCTAATCAGACATCTATCACTTTATTGGGACTGTTTTCGAGACGCAAATCTTAGCTCTACTTCTATTGTTTATTATTACCTTCTTGCACAGACTACCAAGGTATGTTAAGTTGCTCTGTTTTTGATAAAAGCTACAATATCTTTACAACTTAGTCATTCAAGAAATAACTTACTTTAGCGAGCATTTGTTGTCGCTTTCTCGTAGCATCATTTAGGAGTACTACTGATAACATCTGTTTTTATTTTTTATTGTTCCCTTTCTTTTAATTCTTTACACTCTCTTATCATGTTCTGTTCCTTCAACAATCAAATTCATTCATTATGAATATATTCACCTATTTCTCTTTTCTGTTTGTCTACTATCTCTATTTGACGAACTTAAAGTATTATAATGAATATAAGTGGAAACAAAAGCACACATGTAAAGTATTGTCATTGGATAAATATTTTTAAAGAAATGATGGCTTTTTTTTTTTACTTGTAAATTCAAAAAGTTCCTTTGGATGAATTTCAGTTTTTCTTCTTCAATCTTCAAAAATATCTATCAGATAGATGGTCCTCATAGAGATGAATGATACATACGCATATATCTCAGAAATATTGAATTCTAAGCAAAAAAATTCAAACAATTTTATAGAAAATTTATTCAATGGATAAAGGGTGTTCCATAATAACTGACGATAAATTGTTATTCATATGTTTCATACTTTTTCTTGACATAGAGGGCTGAAATTTTTATCACATATATACCTAATGAAGATCTTCTGTTTCTGAAAGTTTCAGGTCTCTAGCTATAACTATTGGTGAAATACATCGACAACATTTGAATACATGAATTTTCGTAATCGACTTAGCGGGGCAGTTACATAGATAGTTAACCAAAAACTCACAAAGTATTCAGAAAATTTTCTTTCATATCAGAATTTGTAGAGCTTTTTCTGCTGATCATTTTGGTAAAATCATGTTTCGAATTTCATTGAGAAATGACGATGTTATAGTTAAAATAGTTATCGCAAAAAATAGAAGATGTCAGATTTTTTTCATAGAAATATCGCATACAATGTTCAATCGAGAATTATTCATCCTATTTGCTTATATTTCAGAAACGGACTATAGGATCTTGTAGAGCAAGGTTTCCTCTACAAAACCTACTAAGTCACATTTCTCCAGAATATAGCCACATTTTGAGATATACGAATCGACTTCCTTACGCTTTAACCTATTTTAAAGTGTTTAGTATTTTGCCTATAACGTCGTCATTTCTCAATGAAATTGGAAAAGTTTTTTTACCAAAATGATCAGCGGGAAAAGCTCTACAAATTCTAATACGAAAAAAAATTTTCCGAACAGTTTGTGATTTTTTGGTTAACTACTCATGAAAATATCCTGCAACATTTTCACAATAAAAAGTATTGAAAAATCGATTTCGAAAATTTATATCTTTGAATGTTGTTGATGTATTTCACCAGTAGTTATAGCTAGAGACCTGAAACTTTCAGAAACAGAAGATCTTCATTAGATATATATGTGATAAAAATTTCAGCCCTCTATGTCAAGAAAAAGTATGAAAAATATGAATAACAATTTATCGTCAGTTATTATGGAACACCCTTTATACGTTCTATGTCAATGTAAATTGTCAGTTAGAAATATCATATCATATTTCACTAGGTAAAAATCTGACAATTTAAAGCACACTAACGAGAAGATATACGTGAGTTGCTGTCTTTGAAAAATATTTACATTATCTAATTTTGTTATTGTCTCTACTCTGATTTCAATGATGATTATATATGGCTTGTTTCAATTCATATATCAGAAAATAATTGAAAGTCATATTTTTCTTGCAGAATCCTTCTTCTATTTGTTTATCCATATTAACTATTTTATTATAGTTGCACAATTCTATCGCACATTTCTTAGTAACTTCTGCACTGAAAATTCCGAAGATTTTGAGAACGATATATCGTAGTCAATATTAGACAATCGAAGTATAGTTGACAAACTCAAGAGGTCGTTTATAGCCTAACAAAAAATTAAGCATCAATCAATAGAAACAATATTTGCAATACTGACTACAATATATTCTTTCCTAAAAACTTTACAACTTTTAGCAAAACAATTACTAAGAAACGTGAGATAGAATGATGTAATATGATAAAATTATTATTATGGATAAATAGAAAACAAAAGATTTTTTCAGGGAAAAATGTATTTTTATACCAATAAAAAATGCCGTATGGAATATATTCTTGAATGATTTGTTTGTATTGTTAATTAACAAAAAAACAAACTCAAACGTGTTCAAATGAAGATCTTTGCAAAATCTTTTGTCATGAGTACATAATTATAGTTGCAGGTGAATAGAAGACTTATACTCATACCTTCACGCTCATTTCTCTAGTTCAGCATCGCTACTTTTAAATGTGATGATTGAATCTATAAGCTACATATAAATTTTAGTACCGGCCAATAGTCAAATCATATGCCGAAGATGATTGATCTGCTTTAATAGTTTTGTCATGTCTACTAATAATGAAATTACTTGAGTCAGTGCCTTTGAACCAATACATGGTTCACTAATTAGAAGTGTCTGCAACATAAACGAAGTCCATTTGATGAACAGTTATTGTCTCTCTATTATACGAATACAATATATCTTTAAAATATCTTCGAAAACTGGTGACACTTCGATATCTATCTACTGCAAAGTATATCCGATTGGCAAATTGTATTGGCAAATGAACAACGTTGCAATGCGATAAGCAAATATTATCAATATAACGGAGAGAATAAAAGAACATTTGAGTCAACAAAAGTGTCATACAAGTACGAACTACTTTCTTATTCTGATTATCGAATCAATATAAATTTGATAAGTATAAAGATAATTTTCTATTGATGAATTCTTCATGGCAAATCTGACAGGAAATTCTTTAAAAGAAACTACTGACGGTTTTATTCACTATGCAAATGGTTTAATCGAAATTGGTTTACACACATCAGCCGTTGTTAAATCACAAGAATTAATAAATAATGAAGAATATGATGTAATTATTATTGGTGCGGGATTTGCTGGTCTTATTGCTGCACGTGAACTTAGTCTTCGTGGACGAAAAGTATTAATTATTGAAGCAAAAAATAGAATTGGTGGTCGAACATTTACTACTCAACTCGAAAATCAAAACTTTGAAATTGGTGGTACATGGATTCATTGGAGTCAACCACATGTATGGACAGAAATCACACGTTATGGACTTTCATTAACTGAATCAAAAGGTACAACAGCTAATCGTATGAGTATATTACTTGATAATGGTACTAAATTAAAAGAAGTGCAAACGACTGATTATTGGTTAGCAATGGCTAAAGCAATGGAAAAATATAGTGATGTTGATGGAGTTCAAGGACGTACAGTTATGCCATTACCACATACACCTTTTACTTCTAATGAAGCTGTACAAATGTATGATCAATTATCTATGCAAGATCGACTCAATCAAGTTTTAAATTTGCTTGATAATAATGAAGAAATACGTCAAATGTTATTATCATTACTTTCAATGAATATGCAAGGTGATATTGCACAAGGAGGATTTATTGATCATCTTCGTTGGTGGGCACTTGGAGATTATGATATGAATCGAATGTTTGAAAAACTTGGTCGATATAAAATAAAAGAAGGAACAAGTACATTAGCACAAGCTATATTAAATGATTGTCAAAAAGTCACATTATTATTATCAACTGCTGTTGAATCTATTGATCGCACTAGTGGAAATAGTGTTATTATTCGTATACATACAGGTGAATTAATAATTGGTCGAACAGCAATTGTAACTGTTCCTTTGAATGCATTACATAAAATAGAATTTTTTCCACCTCTTGAATTACAAAAACAACAAGCTGTAACCGTAGGCCAATGTCGAGGTGGAACTAAATTTTGGGTCAAATTAGAAAAGTCCATTGGTAATTGGTTTGGTTTTGCCCCATATCCAAATCCAATTACTATGGCTTATACAGATGATCAAGATGGATCTGTTATTGTAGGATTTGGACCTAATGGATTATTAGATATTCAGAATATTAACGTCGTAGAAAAAGAATTAAATAAATTACTTCCAAATGTAAAAGTTAAATATGTTTTAGGACATGATTGGCGAAATGATCCGTTCGTATTGAGTACATGGTCTTGGTATAAACCAGGTCAAATGTCTTTAAGTCTTAGAGCACTTCAAAAATCAGAACCACCTGTATTCTTTGCTAGTGGTGATATATCTGATGGTTGGCGAGGATTTATTGATGGTGCACTCGAAAGTGGTCTTAAAAGTGTTAGAAATGTTCAACAATATCTTACCACACGTTTTCATTAATTTTAATTCCTATTTAAAATTCTTTTATTTATAAGTATATATTTTAATATTGTAATATTTACATACATATATATTCTGTAATTATTTAATATCATTTTATTTTAATAACTTACTGGAAATTTTTATTTATATATTACTATCATAGTTTCTTTATGTTGTCATAGATTTGCATATGAAATACTAATAAATACGTATGACTAAATGATCTTGATAGATTAAAAGAAATTTTTAATATGTGCTGATTTACATATGTGATGTATAGAAATATAAATAGTGATCAATCTAACGTACTGTTTTATCGTAGTTAGAATTGATTAACAGAATCATGAATATAGGCGATAGATCTACGATTTGAACATTCAGGGAAACTTTTTATTAAATTATTGATAACTTGAAGAATGTTTCAGACTATTACAATTCAATTTCGCTTAAAATTAAGACCTTCTTGTTCAATAAATTATGTGTAATATCTACACAAAAAAAGTGTGACACAGTTTGAAAACATGTTTCGAATTCAGGGTTTAGCGCATTCGTCATTTTTTTTTGAAGAAGAGAATCATTAATATTTTACCAGTTTCATTCAAATTAGTAATATCTATTTTGAAAACTAAAGACAGTCAGATCTTTAGATGTAGTCATTTCGAGTTCATTCGGTCTCTCCGCATGTTCTTCATCAATAAATAATCGAGAACAAGTCTATCAGTGAGTTACATTTATTTCGAAAGCTTCACGATAACTCGGCTCGTTACACATTAAAAGAAAAACCATACAAGTGATTATAGAGTCATTATTGAATCGCTTAACGGTAATCTGTTCAGAGGTTATAAAATATTTCAAAGCAAAATAGATATTTATTTTATAAGATATGTCAAAGACACATGTATTCTTTTGATATTAATTTTTATCAGTTCACTTCTTCTGTTTTTCTTTATCAATAATAACAATGAATTGATATTGCTGTTACCCATTCAATAATGTGGTTAAAGAAGAAAAAAAAATCAAGACTTTATATGTTGTTAAAGTCTCTTTCTCTATCATGCATTTATTGAATCGACCAAACGATCCTGTATTTAATATATGGACAATCAAAGCACTGTGAGAAGTAAAAGGTTAAAAAATTCATTTTAACATATTAATATGAAATTAAATGAAAAATATTTATATTTACTAAGTAGTTCTTTTATTTCATAGATAATGCTTTTGTACATTTAATTACTAATATAAAATATCATCAAATTTATTTCATGGTGTTTTCTTTTTAAATACAAAACTGTTACAAAGAAAGAACGAGTAATTAAAGTTCAATTTTAAATATTTTCTTTCTATTAGCTTTTTCTCGAAGTTTCATTTGACCCATTTCAGATAAATTACAATTATTTATTGATAATTGTTCTAATGTTTGATTATGTTCTAACATTTGAAGAAAATAATCAATACTTGCATCAGTTATAAATATATTAAATGAAAGTACTAATACTTTTAATTTTCTATTATAATTAATTAATATATTAGCTAATAATTTTACTCCTTGATTTCCAATTTCATTATCTGATAACCATAATTCAGTTAATGTTTGATTTGTTCGAAGCATTTCAGATAAACAATGTATACCATCATTTGAAATACCATTTTTATTAAGATGAAGTATCTCAAGAGATGAATAATGATTTGGTAAAAGAACTTGACTTAAGAAATAAACACCTGTATCTGATATATGATTATAAGAAAGATCAAGACTTTTTAATATTGAATTATTTGTTAAACTTGAAATTAAAAGAGATATGCCTTGTGATGTTATTTGATTTCCATATAATCGAAGTTCTATACATTGTTTATTTTTTATAATTTGTTTAATAATCATTAACATATCATCATCAGTTATATTCCAATAGGATAAATCTGCGCATGTTTTTGGTTTGATTAATGCAAGTTCTTCTTCTAATTTTTTATTACGGTAAATTTCTGTAATAAATCTTTTGTTTTCTGTTGTTGGAATAATAGGTTTGAATTCAACTGAAATTGATCGTGAACGTGAACGTGGAGATAATGAGTCGATCTTTTTTAACATAATCGATGTATTAATTTTAATTTGATATTAGTCCTAGAGAATTTTTTTTTTTGAAAGTACTTTATTACATATTATAAGTTTTTAATGTGGCAAAAGATTTTTTTACAATGATATTTTGAGAAATTTAGTTCGAAAATGAGACTTATTAAATTGATTCAGCAAAGATCTTATTTTTGTTCGTCACAGTGAGTCTAACTTTTGAATCAATAAACATAGAAATTTACTTGAAAAGGCTATGTTTAATGAAATTTTAGTTATAAATTAAGATTTCCCAAGCTAATTTCGAACGTTATATTAAGACTTGTCTATTTACCTGTATATCACGTGTTTAAATGAAAACTTTACCTATAATTAATTAGTACGATTGATAATGTATCTACTTGTCAGTTTTCTCTTACAGCACATAAGCAAAATGAGGAGAACAGAACGAAAGAGTCGTCTTTATTCTAAGTGATGTGTTTTTCTCCATACTATTTGGACAAAATAAATCAAGGATATATTTATTTTTGCGATAAATAAAAATATAAAAGTACACTATTAACCTTGATCATTATAAAACTTTTTGATTTTCAGAAAAAATTTTTTTATTAAACTTAAGTATATTAATTTAAATAATTATCATTAAAAATATTCATCGATTATACAACTTTATTTTCTATTTTATTACGTAATGATCGAGATAAAAATAAAAAAAGAAGAAGTAGCAGCGAGTAGTTTCGATCTACCGACCTCTGAGTTATGAGCCCAGCACGCTTCCACTGCGCCACGCTGCTTATATTTTTCTTTGAAATAAACATCACAAACATTTGTCAGTTATATCATCGATGATTGAAGATCATAACATAATCGGTCACTTTCAAAATGCATGATTAACAAAATAGGAAAAAACTGTATGTCATTAATTTATTTTTTATCTTATTTCAAAGTCATTGTATTCAATCAAAAATAGCTATTTGTTAAATCATATATTATTCAAATACATGTAAGTAGACTATAACAAGATATATAATCGTTTATGTAACAGGGTAACAACAAATAGGTTACTATATATACAATTTTAGATCTTTAAACTCAACTTTAATAAAATACAATAACTCCAAAACGAAAAGATTTTCTGTTTAGACAGTTAACTTATGCTATTGTGTAATAGAAAGCTTGAAAAATTATTGGAAATTCTTTTTTTGTCTCGTATCATATAAATATTAATGTATTCACGTACTTCTTGACTTTGTTATGAAAAGATTTATAAGAATAAGAATGTACAAGGTACGATGGACATTTATTATATACAGCATCAAGGTAAAAGGTGAACACAATCTCCAACTTCATATAGAGAAAACCGGACTTGCCATGGAAAGGGACATTTTGTTATATCAACATTCAACTCTCTTTTATTCTTTGTTCGTTGGTTGACATAACTAATCTTTTGATTGTCACAATCCAGTTGAAGTTCAATTTCAAATGAAGTTTCACCTTTCATATCTAGAGTGTTTCTATTAAATATCATTTGATTACCAGGACATTCAATTTCATCCATGCTTGACCATCCATAGCCTTCGTAGGACGATTTAGAGACTCCTCTGATCGGCATTAATGCCGAGACAACTTTAAACGAAGTGATATAATGAATACTATTCTTTGTGAACAGAAATCGAATTTTATGTGTACCCAATGAATATTCACCTAATCCGCGCACATAAGCCGTATCGTTGTTTGGTCCGATATGTGTTGCCATAAAACCATTATTCTTAATAAGAATTGGACCATATGATTCTCTAAACTTCTCCCGCTCTCTTGGTTGTTGTAGTGTTTTAGAAACATACATTTTAGCAACAAGTATTTCTTTTGGATTTTCTTGAATATAAATCGAAGGTGAAAATGTATTAACATCATCTTTCAATTTTTCTAATATAGTTGTCCATGTTTGAAGATCTGTTTCAACATAATCATCATCTATACGAGCTTTTCCTAATCGTTCAGCAAGTTCATGTAATTCTTTTGATACTATCAAATAATAGATATATCAATCATAGCACATACTAATCAATATTCTAACTAACCTGTTTGTAAACTAGTTAACTCTTTAGCTTGTATTCTAGCTTCTTCTGCTATTTGTTGAATTTTCTCAATGGAAAGTTTTTCCCATTGATCAATTTGTTTGAAAATAGGAAGATCATTTGCTTGTTTATCTTCATTTTCAAGAATAGTTTGTTGTAAAATATCATGTTCTTGAGCAATTTCATCTAATTGATGACTAAGAAAATCTCGATGTTCATTAAGATGTTTTCGACAAAATACTTGTAAACATCCTTCACATCGAAATATACCTACACTTTTATTACCACATGCAGTACAAGGTGCTTTTAATGATACAGATGAAGACGCCATGAAAGATTTTATTTTTCTATGAGTCTAAAGAAATATAAAGTAATGAATTACTTTTCGCTTCAAAACATCGATCACAACAGAGAGAAAACAGAAAAATGAAAAAAAAAACTAGTTTTATGACCTTATTTTATTTGTTTCGTGTTTTAGTAAAAAATACAACTAGCAAAAAAGAAGAATGATAGTGAACTAAAATTATGATATTTGAGATGAAGAAAGAAGTCGAACAGAATCTCCAACATCATATAAATAAAAAAGAAGTTTCCATGGTAAAGGACATTTTTCTATATCAACATTAATTTCTCTTGTTTGTTTTGTTTTTTCATTGAAATAACTAATAGTATGTTTATCACAATCAATAAAAAGACTAATATGATATTCTGTTTTTCCTTTTAAATCTCGACAATTTTTTGAACTCGATAAAGAAGATTGAGAAGGATTAACACAATCATCATTTTGCCAACCATAAATAAAATATTGTGAATCAAATAAATTTGATGATAATGGCATTAATTTTGACATAATATTAAATGAAAGAATAAATTGATTTGTCATTTTACTAATAAATAATCGTATTTGATGTTGACCTGATAAATATTCTTGTGTACCAGTAATATAAGCAGGATTCCGATAAGGACCACAATGCATAGCAATATGATGATTATCATCAAATTTAATTTCATCTGAAAAACTAATAAATGTTTCATTTAAAGTTGATTGTTGATCCATTTTCATAATAGATATATTATTAATTAATGTTTTATTATAATCTTGATGAAGAATAATCGATGGTGAAAGTATAGTCAAATCATATTTAAATTGTTTTAAAAGAATTTTCCATCGAAAAAGATCTTGTTCAAGATATTCATGATTTTGACGAGCATTTTCCAATTGTTTACTTATTTGATTAAATTTTTCTTTTGATTGTTCTAAATTATAGTTTAAAAAAACAAAAAAGAGCTGTTTTTTTCTTATTAATAAATTATTTATTCAAAAACCTTTTTGTAATTCAGAAAATTGTTCAATTTGTATTCGAACATTGTGTGCTGTTTGTTGTATTTTTTTAATTGAATCGTTTTCCCATTGATTAATTTGATCGAATAATAATGATGATTGTTTATGTTCGTTGAATGTATAAAAAATATTTTCATGTTCATGAATTATTTCATTTAATTGATGACTAAGATATTGTTGATGTTCATTGGTGTGTTTTAGACAAAATGTTTGTAAACATCCTTCACATTTAAATGTACTATTAATAGTTTTATTTTCGCATACAACACAAGACGTTGTTGATGAAGACATGTTTTCGATTTACGAATAGTAAGTGAACGTAATGCGTATGCATGCTTGATGTTTAATAAATCTTTTAATGGTGATGCAAATGAAGAATGCAAAAAAAAAACACAATGACTAATATTGATGATTCGTATTTAAAAAGTATTGGTTATTAGCGTCATAAAAAGTGAAACATGTGGGCACTTTTATAGAGTTGATTAATACCTTTTCGCCAACATAAATATTTATAGCATATTGATTACATTTGAAAATGAAGAAATTTATGAAAATGTAAAAGAATCGATGTTTTACTTGTTTTTCGTTGGTTACTCTTGATTTGAGAAAAAAAACCAATCATAAATAGTTGTGTGAATAATAAAAACCAGGTGACTAAAATATTATATAGATGTGTATTGTGGTCAAAAACTGAGTTCATGTTTATTCTGTTTTATGAAAAAAAAAGGAATTTGATCGAACGAAATTAATTATAGTGGTAATTTTTTTATTAAATAAATGAAATGGACAGCACTCATATTTCATCTATAAACATTATGCATATAATTGAATCGAACGTGTGGTCTAATAACTACAAATAAAATAAATTGCCATTTCAAAAACATGATAGATCTAAGAAATATCTTAAGCAAATCCGAATGATTAAAATTTATTACGACATGGCTTTGTTTTTACGAATAGGTTTATATTTTTTTTTGTAGATTATTTTAGTACCATATTGTTATATTTGTTAATTTATTTTTTATTTTCTATTTGATTATTATTATTGCAATAGTTATTGTTTTTTTGTCATCGAAAAAATTGACTAATACTCGGTGATTAGAACACTCATTTCTTTAATTGAAAATAAAATCGCTATTTGATAGAATCTTCAAATAATAGTATCACATGTGGTAGTCGATGACAATATTTTATTGTATTTTAAATAGAATAATAGTGTAATCACCTAAAATTAATTATGAAGATATATATATGTAAAAAAAAATCTTGTTTTCATATATCGAACAAATATTTATGGTTAAAATAAATATTTGCATTGCCAATGAAAAACGTATTTTACAAATCGAAAAAAAAAATATTCAAAGGTAGCATCATTTAACGTACGATAGAATTCTGATAAAAATGAGGATCTTTTATAAATCCTCATTATTGTCCTAGCACTCTACATGTTTTGGTTTTCTTATGTTACAACATAATGTAAATATCTTTTCAATTGGGTTTAATAAACCAGTTCTTTTTTCTTTTTTAAACTTGTCTCGATAATTTATTTGATTTTTCGTGTGAAACTCAAATAATGTTTAAAAATTACTACCTAGTAATATTTATTACTATTTTGGAAATTTTTCTTTACTTCCGATTGAATTAATGAATACATTAGTTAATCTGTACTAGTGTACAATTGATTGATCTTTATCTATGGATAAATAATCAAATATTGATTTTAAAAATTCGATTTAATAGTATAAGTGTTTATTTTGGATGATTTATTGATGATACTTATCTTCACAATTAAATCTATCAGTAACTTCAAATTTATTTCGTTCTAATATAATATTAGTATCGTTTGAAATCGTTACAACCTTGTGACCTGTATATTCCGTGAGAATAAATGTAATCTTTTTTTGTCTTTCATTTTATCATGCAGATAAAAATAGAATCAGTTTTTCTTTTTATTTGATATCTCATCTATATAATGAGATGAATGTTTTTCGAACGATGAATCGGCAAGTGAAATATATCAATATTGATCGAAAAGTAATAAAATAAAAATTTCATTCATTTAAGATGTGTCTTTCAGGAGAATCGAAAATATTGCCTAAACTGACAGGTGTACCTTGAGAGGCTGTCTGGACTTACTTTTTTAGGATTCATTTTTCTACAGTATTTATTAATTATGGTAATATTTCAGCGGTATATGTTGAAGGTGTGCATCTATATACTGGCTAGAGTAAATATATAAACGCACCCATACTGAAACTATGCAGGTATATACTGAATAATTATGTGGATTTTATCTTAAAATTCATCGAAACTTACTGAAAAATCTCCAAAAAAAAGCTCCAGTACTTGCTGGAGGTACCGTACTATAATACTTGCAATCGATTAATCGTGAATATAATATTCCTACGAAATATTAAGTCCATATTCTAAAGGAACATAAAATTCTGATTTCAACGCAATGCCATCATACGTATGCAGGCTTCTTTAACAGACTGAAAAATCGATAACAAACATTAAGTCAAATTATTTTTCAATCACTCATTAGTTCTTATGTTTTTAACAAATGAAGAATAATTATATTGATGTATTATCCTAAGAATTAATAAATAATTTGTAATATCATTTAAAATTTGATTTTTAATATATATAAATGCAGTTGTAATCATTGAATGAACAACAATTCATGTATGTTTCATCAAACATTTACATGATTTTTTATTCAATGGAGAATATTTACATTACATATGGAGAAAAAAATGGCAAAATAATATATTACAAATTAGTTTATGATCAATTCGAAATTTTTCTTTGTTTTTGTTAAAATTTTTAATTTTTCAACACTAAATTTCGATAGTTTACAATTTTCCAAATTGAGTTGTGTTAGTGACTTGTTGTTTTTAAGTAAATCAACCAAAATATTAACACTTCTATCACTAGGAAATTTATTCCATTCAAGTGAAAGTATTTGTAAAGTTTTATTCTTGTTAATAAGAACTTCACATAATCGTTCTAAACCACGATCGCTTATTTTATTTGATCCTAACCATAAATATGTTAATGTTACATTTGATTCTAACATTTTTGCTAAATATTCAGCACCTTGATCTGTAATACCATTATGACCAAGAGAAAGTTCTCTAAGAGTTGAATTATTATCATATGAGAGTGCTCGAGCCAGAAATTTTGTACCATCATCACCAAGTTTATTGTGAGAAAGAAATAATTTTACTAGTGTATTATTATTACGTAAAGCTTCAGAAATGATCATTGCTCCTTCAGATGTCATATGACTTTCTCTTAAAAATAAAGCTCGACATTGTTTATTAATTACTAATTGTTGAACAACAGATTCAACATCATGTTTAGTAAGACGTCTTCCATTTAAATAAGCATCAGACTCAGGTTTGCATCGTAGAATACATTCTCTAAGCTTGTTATTGCGATAACGTTCAAGTACTGTGGCATAAACTATTGGTGCTCGTAGACTAGATTTCCGTATTGAACTTGCTTTTAAATCTTGACTTTCTTTTACTGAAGATATAGATTCCAATAGAATATGTGATGATTCAATTTCTTGAAGATAAATGACATGTAAATTATTTTCTTCTTGTTCATAACTAATAACTTCAACATGAGTTGCAGGTAAAAGTAATACTTCTTGTTCTTTTTTAAAATACGAATGTTTTCCAATATCTTTTCCTGTCATACAATCAATAATAAATAATGTTCTTAGACCAGTTTGTCCAAGAAAAAGTTCGTCTTCGGACACTTCACGAATAACTGAACATGATGAAAAACCCCACCAAACAAGTCTTTTTCCTACTTTATATTTTTCATGTTCACTTTCGATTATATTTTTAACTCCACGATAAACAGTTAGCTCTATTGATGGAAGACGAGATAAAGCAGTACAGATAAGTTTAAGATAAAGAAACCATGGTTTCAAACTTTTTCGATCTTCACTGCGTAATGTGTTATTAAGAATATAATAAAGTGAATCTGTATATGGTTCCCATTCCATTGTATATAATGCAATTGAAGCTGATTCATCAACTGAAAGATCATCTGGTGGATTTTTAGCACGTTCTTTGACTACATATACATATGTACTAATACGAGGAACGATGTTTTCTAATGGTTTAGTAGCTTCTTCAAGTGTAACTAATGGTTTTTT